TCCAGCGGGAGATGCGTGATGTGCAGCCCGACAAGCAGAGCTCTCATCTGGGTAGAATGCTGGAGCGCTTGCCNGAGAGTGTGTGTGTGGTCACGTGATGTGCGTTTTCAGCGTTTTGGTGTGGACGGAGAGCTGTTCAGAAACGCTGGGTAAAACGCGAGTGTGGACGCGGATCGTTTTCATTCTACAACGCCGTTTTAAAACTAAAACGCACTAGTGTAAACGGGGCCTCAGACTGGTTTCTTAGGGTGCTTTCACACCTGTGAATCGATTCAGTTGTTCCGAAACAGAGATTAAAATTGTTACATTGTTGCTCTTTGCTCTTGGAGCGGTTCGCTTTCACATTGCAAAGTTTCTAATCGGACCAAAAGAGCTAAAACAAGTCACGTGCGAGTAAACTCTCCTCACATTGGTCAGAGTGTCAGGGTTTATTTTGCTGTGTCCCACTCAGCTGTCAGGAGAGGTGGTGGTTTGCTGGTGATTGACAGGTGCGTGCGCGCAACGTGTCTGAGGAGAGACGCGGTGGGAAGGGGTGAGAAGGGTGCGCGACGATGCCTATTTGAGGACCGGGAGGAAGACGCGAGATTATCGGGAGATTATCACTCGTTTGCGGGCATCCGGAGACTCACGAAACTTCCCACCCTACTCATAATTCTCTCTTCATATAGCCGTAAGCCTATTACATATCCATAAAACACAGTGATATAACCGCACTCGGATCACTTTCTCATTGCAATCGAACCGCTCCAGGGTTTGTTTCAATCGAGCCGAGACCACCTCATTCAAGCGATCTCGGAGCGATTACTTTGGCGCGTAACAGAGTGCGATTGCCCTGTTCACATATGCCAAACGAACCGCGCTAACTGGGCAAACGAGACACGTTCCGAAACAAAAGTGTAGGTGTGAAAGCACCCTTAAACATGACAATGAGTGCACTGTATGGGGTATTGTGTGTGTGTGTGTTGTGTTTAAGAGAAAAAGAGTGTGTAGAAGAGACCTCTGCACACTTGATATGTCAAAGGAAATAAAAAATAAGCAGTTCAGCTTTCTATAATTTGCTGTTTTACTTCATAGAAGTCCATTGCTCATGATGTGGAGTGTGTATTTCAACATTCAACAGTTTGCATTCTTTAAATGAGTCTAAAGAGATGAGTTTATTGGTATTGTAAAGGAAAAAGTAAACAAATACAAAATTGGAATGGTAAACAACTTCAAAAACTTTAGAAACCTATCTATGATTGTTTTCAGACTTGAAGCGATAATTTTAACAGATTGTACCTTCATATTACAGGGGAGCAAAATGTATGTATTGCAAACTTAACCTTACAGTAGGTGCACAGATATCACTGACTGCAACAGTCTGTACTAGGCAATTTGTCATTTGTTAGCTTTTTTTTTTCTTTTTCCCTGATATAAGTCAATGGCTAAGACAACACAAGTGCTTCATCCAGAACTAGCTTTGGCTTCTTTTTTGCCTGAGGTTAACGGAAAAGTTCCATGTACTGGTGTACTCCGAAAGCAGGATCTCTTTAGGGAAGAACTCTTCCACCTCAGGAGGAACATCCAGATCTTTACGCTCCATGTAGGACACAACAGTGTGTTTTAGCCTGAAGGACAGAAAGAATTTAGTGAGTTATGGTAAATATCTATGATCAGTCACATCACAATCTATACTTATTCTGGCCATGCAGATTTCTGTACACTGTAAAAAAAAAATCTTGCTGCCCTAAAACTTTTAGTTGAATCAAACTTTTTTTAACCAAATCAAACTGACTAAAAATATTAAGCTAAACTTTGTATAAATTTAGGTGAAACCTGATTAACTCATTAAAACAAGCTAAAGCAACATAAAGAAATTTACTGTCTTGACTACTTGTCATTACATTTCATACTGTTATGATCACCTGCGATCTAGCAGCTGCAATTCTGCCTCTGAAATGACCTACAGATCCCATCATGCACCTCACACACACACCAGCTCCTGTTCCCTCCCTGATTACAGACACAGCTGATGCTCGTAAGGACTGATGACCAGGGCTGCGTCCGAAACCGCATACTTCCATACTATTTACAGCATGCTAAAATCAGTATGCGAGCCGAGTAGTACGTTGTGGAAAAAAGCAATTTATTCGTATTACTTTTGTGTCTTTATTTTTTATAAGAAAATGTTTAGACTAAAAACAGATTAATCAATCAATCTTTCTCTTTTGTATGATACCACATATTGACCAGACACACTTGCTCTTTTTTTACTGTGCTGCATAGCAGCCGAGAAGGAACTGTGGGAAATAGCAGAATTAGAATAAATATAGTGCGGGGGCCCTTGTTTCAGACTGCTGTTTAATACTAAGTCTAGACATGTCACAAGGAGCATGATGCTTGTAGAAGTTGTGAAATACATTAAAGATGCACATAATTGTTCAGTTCTGGTATGCAGAAAAGGGTTGCAGAAAAAGGAAGTATGTCTGGGGTACAAGACCCAAAGGACTGCAGAATGACTGATAAGTGACGTTACCAAAACTCCACCTGTTAATATCAGTTGTGTATATATGCTGGGAAATCTCAGGAAATGTATGTTAGTTGCGAACCTCTTAAATGTAATTCTTGTAATGCATTGGGGTAACGTGACCCAGAGCTCTGTCATCGAATTATTAATTTGTATCTAATAAATTACTAATATTTTTGGCATTGAAGAAAACCCTCTCCAGATCTTTTCTTATTGAACACGCATGGAATTGGCTTGA